AAGCGGTGCCCAGCAAATCCCGCCAACAGACACCGCCGAAACGGGCAAGTGGCAACCCTCCCAATTTGGGCCCACATATGCCGCAAGCGTCGCTCTACCTCAGGGGTGGGGATTGGCCCCGCCGAAATGCCAAATTGCAGTCTGGCCAGCAGCAATGGCAGCGTAAGCCAGACGGCAGTCGGAACGCCTCAGCACAGCAGATGGGCGTACAGTATCAGGAAAGCCAGGGAGATGGAGGCCACTCCCAAACAGTCACGGGAGGAAGAGCCGGATGACGCTCATCAGTCTTTCCAGGTTTTGTGCACCAAAATCGAATCTGAAGCAAACCAAGAAGAGGTGGAGCAAGCCCTTCTTCGACTGGAGGCCACCCTCCATGATTCCAACGAGCCAAGCAATTCCTGCCTACGGTTGATCGCCGACCTCTTCTTATCAGCGGTCACGGACCCTGAGGCGGTGTTTGATGTGGGCACAACGGGCAGCATATGCAGGTACCGCAGAGCTCTGATGACACAGGATAAGGAAGCTCCTATCCTGGTCACCTCGGCCAATGTGACATCCTGGAGGAGAGAACTCTTAGGCTGGCATCAGAACTGCAAAGGCCAGATCCTGCTCCTGCAGGAGACTCATTTGTGGGGACAAAAGCTCATGGATTTTGGAATCGATGCATTTCAGGCAGGGTACCACCACTTTGGAGGGGAAGGCTCGAAGCCGGACGCCCGGCTCATATGCACGCAAGGGAGGTGGAGCACTGCAACATTGACGGTTGTGGCTATGTTGCCGTGGAGCTGCCCAGAGTAAGGTGGAACCTTCTGGTGGTTTCCGTTTACCTCCAGGTTGATACAGGGATCCACCTGGAGCCCAATTCCACAATTCTGGCCAGCCTTGCATCTACTTTGTTGGCTCACAAAAACTTTCTGGTCATGGGTGACTGGAACGTCCCTTTCAGTGACATGCAGGCCACTTCTTTTGGGGCGCTAGTCAAAGGGGAATTCACCACCAATGGCCAGAGCACGGTCACGTCTGGGAATATCCTGGACTACTGCCTGGTCAGCCGCTCAGTGAGCGGCGTTACAGGCATAGAGCCATTCATTGCAGCTGCGATGTAGGGGCCGGCAAGCTTTCGGTACCCCAATTAAAGGGACACCCGAACGTGTTGCTCAAAGAAAGCAGGAGCTTGGAGTCCGCTCCTGAGGAGCCTCCTGCTGTTCCAGGCAACATTGCCCTCTCACGAAAGAGTTCGCCCTTTTCTCGGCGCTTCCAGAAAGCGTCTCCTTCAATGCTCCGAAAGGAAGGGGGGTCACCAATCCTGCACAGCCAAATGGAACAAGCTGTTGACCGAGCTCAAACTGAGCCCTCTAGACCCGCGCGCGGATGGGCTTCTCCTTTGCGAGGGCCAGGACGCAGCGGCATGGACCATTGCCTTTCAAGGCAAGGACCAAGCTGCTGCTGTACAGCTTGCCGAAGCCAGACTGGACTGCACCTGGGTCCGGAGCCATGTCTCGGAAAAAGAGTTTGAGGCAGAGTTCGGCACAGGCGGAGCTTTGGCGCCGACAGCTCAACGAATGGGCTGACCAACTCTGTGGAGCCAGGGCCGCGGCAGAGCTCAACAGTTTGCATCTGAAAAGGTGTTGCACCTCGATGACCTCTCCAGACAGGTCTCGCTTTTTCTGGCCCAAAGGGCAGAGACGCTGTTGCAATCTAAAGCTGCCCCTGAGCTCAGCCTCAAACAAAACCCTTCCAAGAAGTTCGAGAAAGGCCGTAGACAACTAAACCAGCACCGACCAGGGGAGGACGGTGGCCTCAACAAGCTTGAGCGGCTCAAGCTCCTTGTACAGGATAGGTCCAAGGGCCACGACTGGTACTGGAACCAGGCCAAGAACCCCGGGCGGTCTGCA